TTTTTTTTTTTTTTAGGTTTACTTATTTATTTATTTAGGTAATCCCTGCACCCAACTTGGGACTCAAACTCATGACCTTGAGATCAAGAGTCACATGCTCTTTCAGCTGAGCCAGCCAGGCACCCACATCTGTCTGTTTCATTTTCCATAAACCAGATATTTCTCTATATATTACATAGCAGAAATAGGCACTTTCTTGATTACAGGTTATAAAGTTTTTTGATTTTTGTCTTCTCTCTTTAGGGCCATCTGAATTAGAGATGAATATGGGGGGACCGCAGTATAGCCAACAACAAGCTCCCCCAAATCAGACTGCCCCATGGCCTGAAAGCATCCTGCCTATAGACCAGGCATCTTTCGCCAGCCAAAACAGGTGAGTCCTGAGTACCCAGGAGCTCCAAGAGAACAGTGGTTCATGAGTTCTGGAAGTTATTTTATTTTTAAATGTCTATTTATTTTGAGAGAGCAGGCACATCTGCACTCACATGAGCGGGGGAAGGGCAGAGAGAGAGGAGGGAGAGAATCCTAAGCAGGCTCTGTGCTGTCAGCACAGCCCGACTCAGGGCTCAATCCCACCGGCCGTGAGATCATGACCTGAGCGAAATCAAGAGTTGGGCACTTACCTGACTGAACCACCCAGGCACCCCGGTAACTTATTTTAGACCTCTGCCAAAAATTAATCTTTTCCTTCTAAATAGTTGGTCCTGACCAGTTTTCACATATTCAGACTATAATCGTCAGTTGTTGGACAGGAGGTGAGGGGGTAGGGGAGGGAGAAATCCAGAAATCAGTTACTTCTAGGGCATACCTTTAAAAAGTTATAATTTAGTTGGAAAATAAAAGATGTACATTAATAACTATAAGGTAGTATGTACTGTACTATAAATGGTATAAGAGAAATCAAACAAATTACAAGAGATCATCCAACTGGGGTGACTGGGGAAGGCTTCAGAGTCCTGAAGGAAAGGTGTAATTCAGGAGGTAGACATGGCAGGAAGCCAGTCCAGTGGGTAAAAGCAGCATAATCAGGGCCTGGATGTTACAGAAACAACACGGTATGTTTAGGGTAACGGGGAATAGTCTAGTTTTCTGTTACATATATATTACCACTTAAAAAATATACAGTAAAGGCAGTATGGGAAGATTTGGCAGGAAGAGTAGATTAGTAATTGAATAGATTTATAGAAGGTTTTCAATACCTAAGAAACAAAAAGAGATGAACATTTGGGAAGGGGGGGTTGGAAGAGATAAGGAAACAAACCATAACAGACTGTTAGTGATAGAGAACAAACTGACGGTTGCTGGAGAGGAGGTGGGTGGAGAGATGGGTTAAATGGGTGATGGATATTAAGGAGGGCACTTGTTGGGCTGAGCATTGGGTGTTACATGCATAAGTGATGAAACACAGAATTCTCCTGAAACCAATACTACACTATATGTTAACTGACATTTAAATTTAAATACAAATTTGAAAGAAAGAAAAAAGAAAAAGAATGTCTTAAATACCACGCTCTGAAGAATTCAGACTTTTGCATTAAGCCATTAAAAAAAGGTTTTTGGAAAAGGAAATGGTATGTGATCTTGTTTTAAGTTTTTTTTGCTTCTGATTATGTCAAATTTTGTTTCTTTGTAGGTGATCTTTTCTCTTGTTGCTTTTGAAATATTCTTTGTATTTACTGTATGTGTTGCACTTTCACTACAGTGTGTCTGGGTGTGGATTTATTTATACTGCTTGGTATTTGGCATGTTTTACTTGTTTTTACCCCGTAGATTCATGTTTTTCATGTTATTATCTCTAGTACTGTCCCTTTCCATTTTCTTTATTCTTTCCTTCTGAGATTCTGGTTAGACATATTACACTTTCTCTTTCTACGCTGGATTTTTTTTTTTAATTCTACCCTCCATTTTTTTTTTTATAGATATACATATTTATTTTTGAGAGAAAGAAAGAGACAGTGTGAGCAGGGGAAGGGCAGAGAGAGAGGGAGACAGAATCCGAAGCAGGCCCCAGGCTCTGAGCTGTCAGCACAGAGCCCGGTGCAGGGCCCGAACTCACAAACTCAGCAAGATCATGACCGAGCTAAAGTTGGACGCTTAGCTAACTGAGCCACCCAGGTGCCCCCTACCCTCCATATTTCTTAATCCATGTATTTTCTATCTCCTTGTCTCTCAGTACATCAGGATAATTAATTTATTATCCAGTTCATTAATTACTTCTTCATCTGTGTTTAATCCAGTTACATTTTTTATTTCTTAAAGTTTTATTTGCCAGGTCTACTTTTCAGTCTCATTATTTGCTTATTTTCGTGATTCCATCTTTATATCTTTAAGCATTACATTCATCATTATTTTCTGAATTTCTTTATCTGATAATTCTGATTACTAGGTTTCATAGAGGTCTAACTCCAGTATTGACTCTCCCTCATGATGGCCTGTTTCCCTGAGTATTTTGGTAATCTTGCTTTGGGAGTTCTTAAGTTGATCTTGGTTGGTGAAACATCTAGAGTCGAAATTGAGGAAACTTCTCTTAAAACAAATTTGCAGTGCTCTCTGCCAGAGGCGGGGGGTCCATTCCACGATCCCTCGGTTCAGTCCAGCAGCCTCAAGTTAGTGCTTTTATTTTGCTTTGGCCCACAGCCCCAGCTCTTGTAACTGCTCTGTGGATAAAAACACACCTATCACCAGTAGCTTGAGATGTTCAAGGTTTAGCTCGTAGGTGGTTTTTGTTTTGTGTTTGCCTCTTTGAGAGTTCCATTATTCCCTGCAAAGCCAAGGTCACAGTTATGTCGTCTGCATAATCTCGTTTTTAGCAGTGCACTAACTGCAAGCAGACTTGAGGCCTAAGTGATGGTCCTGCTTGGCAGGTTGGGTGAACAAAGCAGCTCCCCAGGCAGAGAGATGGGAGCCTAAGCCAGAAGGCGGTGTGGGAACTGAAAGGGTGTGCGCGGTGTTTTCCAGGAAGTAAACTTGTTGGAAAACAAGCTGTAGCAATTCGGCCTTGAGGCCCACATGTAAAGAGCTGGGGTTGAAGGCTCCGTGAGGACCCTACTGCAGACTGAGTGTTTTGTCCTGGTTTATTGTCCTAGATTATTCTGGTTTAAAGTTATGTAATATTCTTATCTAATTCACAGATAATGAAAGTCAGCAAGGTTTTTGAAATTTCATAAGAGTTGAGTACATTTTCAGAGTTTCTTATTTGTTTTTTTAAAACTACAGGTTTCAGAGTGAGTCCTACTCTGAGATGTAACGCTTTTATCATAGTGGGCCTTGCACAGCTCAGAAGCGTGGTATGATACCTGTCTGTTTTCCTTCCCTTATCTTAAAGGAGAGTAAAGGATTCAGAAGATTCAGTGAAGTTTAAAAACAAAACAAAAAAAAAAAAAACCCAAAGTATCAGAAAATGAATAAGATCCCAGCAATAAGACATCTGAGAAAAAGTCGAGGGCTAGTTATTTCACTGAAACAAAAGACCAGGGAAAGTGCTTACTAACCGTCTCGAGTACATAAAGGAGGAGGCTCACTTACCAGCTGTATTCCTTTCATCATGGGAAGAAATTAGTATTTTTTTAAGCCTGCGGTGCCTCTGAATCACGTCTGGGGTCTCCTTAACAGGCGGGTCTGGGTGGGGCCCAGGGCTCTGCATTTTGAGAGAGACCCAGAAGATGCCTGCATCTCTGGCCCTCCCCCTGCACTCTGAGCAGAAATGAGGCAGGAGAAGGATGACAGAGCAAGAACCGCGTGCAGTCACTGTGGCTCTCACCAGACCAGCCACCAAGGCAGCGTGCAGCTTCCATCACCGGGTCTGTTGGGAGTAGAGCATCGCACAAATAACCACTGTAGTAATAACTTGGAAGCAGTACTTTTTCGGGGTCCTTCCAGTTCTTTGAGTCTAATTTGATGGCGTCCGTGAGTGTTAAGCTGTTTCTAAATATGTTTATCTGATATGTTAAAGAGCCACCCATTTCCATGGAAACTTGCACATAATGGAAATGTAGTACGGTAGTTAAATGCAGCATCTGATAGTTGTTTTGGGGTGAAATGTCAAAGATTAGTTTCTAGAGAATACTAGGCGCAAAGTTAGGATTTTCCCTGTTGCCCAAACAGATGAACATTCTGTTAAAACAAAAATGGAAGAATTCCGGAGTTTGTACGGAGCCCAGTCACCATGTAAGCATGTTCGGTTTGCTGTGCAAGTTTCTGGGTCTGGGCACCAACCCTGTTCTGCCGTTGCTCTGGATACGCTGTGTCAGTTTTTGTATGAGAACTGTGTGGACAAAATAGAATGTGTTCATCACTTCTAAAGTCATTTCAGCTTTTCCAGCCACTTACCCCCCATCTTTTATTTTAAATAATTCAGTTTGGAAGAAATTTATGGCCAACCTTATGGTAATCTTATTGTCATAGAAATTCAGAAGTGATGGATAACAAAGGTTTTGACTATGTCTCTCTTTTGAAAAGAAAAACAGTGCTTTATCATCCCGCCCCCTTTTTTTAACTCCCCTAAGTATCATCATTAACATTTTATAGTTTTACTGCCTACTTAGGGGTAAGTTTTTAATGTTTTATGAACCCAGCATTAGTTTAAGTACACATTTCCAGAAGACTATAGGTTAGCCCTTAAATCTCAAACATAATTCTCTTACTCATTTATTTATAAGTTGAACTTGCATTTTCTGTAGTTCCATTGTGTTTTATTTTCCTCGATGTCATATGTAAAAAAGATGTTTAAAATATAGCCAGGGCTCCCTGGGTGGCTCAGTCAGTTGAACGTCCGACTCCTGATTTCGGCTTAGTTCATGATCTCACAGTTTGTGGGATCGAGTGACAGCTCTGTGCTGTCAGTGCAGATATATTGACATACTTATCAAATATGCTTTGATATATTTATCAAAATAAGTAAAATAAAATATAGCCCAAAACTTATAAAGGATTTTTTGAAGATTTCTGTTGGATTTATAAAAGTGGCTTTCTCTTCAAATACAGTAGCTGCCCTCCATGAAAAACTTGCTTTCACATTAAGTTCAAAATCTGAGTTAATTTGGTTTTCTTTTGTTTGAAATGCATCTAAATAAAGTTTCTTTTGTTGTCTATTTCTTATCATGTAGTAGCTGCTACTTTTCTGCAGAATTTTGAAAATAACGTGAAAAGTGATGATAATGGTCATGGTTTCTCAAACAAGAGCTCAGAATTGACCTTATTCCCCTTTAAAAAAAAAAAAAATGTTTATTCTGAGAGAGAGATTGTGTGTGTGCATGCATGGGCGGAGGAGGGGCAGAGAGGGAGGGAGAGAGAGAATCCCAAGCAGGCTCTGTGCTATCAGCATGAGCCCAGTACGAGGCTGAATCCCAGGATCTAAGCCAAAATCAAGAGTTGGACGCTCAACCTACTGAGCCACCCAGGCGCCCTTATTCCCCATTTTTGTCTCCATCCTTACCATTTTTTGGTAGTTCATAAAGTGTACATTTCAAGAAATGAGGTTTCTTTTGAGGATAGCTTTATCTTCTGCTAGTTTGTTACTTAATCATTTCGCATCTGTGTGTGTTCTTTCCTTTATTCCTCTGAATTTCGTCCTTGTCTTGTCTAGATTGTGACTCTATTTGTAATTGCCCAAAATGCAGGAGAATAAGTTCTTCATTGTGTTGGGGGACATTTATAAAGTTGGGATTGGAAGTCTGGATTGGTATTTTTTCCATAAGCCAATCATATTATTACATCTCTAAGGGAAGTGATATAACTCATGGTATACCCAAATTTATCATATCAACCACAATGCAATGTATCTTTCTGATTATAAGATACGATATCCTGGCTAGATTAGGAGCCCTTTATTTTCATCAACTGGAAACTTCCTGAGCCTATGCAGTTTCAAGAACTGGGCCAACAAAGAGACTTAAGATCTCCTCACTTGGTACAGTCTAAAGTTGATATTTTAACATCAATACCAATATCGATTTTAAGTGAAAAGAAAGGACGAAGCATGGAATGACAAGTGTTGGCCTTAGAGTGGCATAGATGGCATCTTCTGGAAAAGGATCAATTGCCCAGGGTGGCTGGGGCTCATGGGGAAATTGTGGACATTGAGTTTGTAGAGACTAGGCTTTACCAAAGTGTGTGCGTCCTTAAATTCCACCACCACCACCTGTCCAAGGACTTAGACATTTTCCTGGAGAGCTAAAATAAGAATTTTTGAGTCATCCCAGCAAAATTTGTTTTGGAAAAGGAACCTAACAGCATTGTCTGAGGAGAATAGGAGAGAGGCTATAAGCAGGGAATTATTTTGAGAGTCCTCAGCCTGAGCTGACAAGGAAGAGCCCTGACCAAAGTAGGAAAGCTGGAGGTACTGTTGGACGTTTCAGTCTGTGTTATGCATTGCTTTGAGGTTTGTTTGTTTTTTTTAATTAAGAAAAGCATGTAACAAAAATGGGTTCTTTTATGTTGGAAATTGTTTTTTTAATTTAAGCTTTGGATGTATCTTTCCTACGGTGGAGTTGTCTTGCAGAGGGTGACCGTACCTCCCTTTCCTTTTGACGCTGGGTTTCAGTCCAATGCAAGACTGGGGGGGTGTGGGTTCGGGCGGAACCCAGCAGCCTTCCTAGATTTAAGAGAGTAGATTTCACCTTAGCCTGTCAGCAGTGGGGATCTAGAGGGGTCTGGGTGGGGAGGTCGTGTTTGGTGTGGGAATGAAGCTTCCGAAAACAGAAGTTGAAAATTAGGGAATAAGGCAGACCAAGAAAATACTTTAATGCATTTAACTAGCTACCATCTTTGGGGAGTGAGGTCCCAGGTATAAGTGATTTGGTAAACACACAACATCCACTCTTGGCTGACTCGACCTCTTTTCGTGAGACTTACCACATCCAAATGTTGGTCACTCCTCTGCAGAATTTCCTCCTCTCTTTGCTTCTGTGATATGCGGTTCTATTGTTTTTCTCCTCCTTGTTGCTGCTTTTCTACACTGCACCTTCCTCCCACTCCTTAAGTGTAGGAGCAGCAGACCGATCTGGTCACATTTGTGTTTAAAAACTTAAATTCCAGGAGAGCATGGATGCCAGAGAAGCAGGAAGGGCAGTAGGGAGACTTTTCCAGGAAACGATGTCTTACTGAGGAGCAAGGCAATGATGAAAAGAGGCAGGTTAGAAAAGGCCCCCCAAAAACCAGAGCACGAGTCTCAGAGTGTTAGCTACCTTTAGCAAGGCAGGACCATTTGAGTGGAACCGGGTGGCCGCACAGCGCACGCGCTTGGCCTGTGGTAGTAGCCCGCGGCAAGGGAGGCTCGGGGATGCAGGCTTAGAGCCAGGAAGGGCAGGTGAGCAGTGTCATGAAGGGCGCATTCAATTAGGTGACTTCCCTTACAAGTTACTGGGGATAAATGGAGAGTATAAATTGTTCTTTAATGCACTGATTATAAATGTTGGAAATCAATTGTTGGCTTTCATAGTCAGCATTTCGGGATCCTAGGCCAAAGTGGCATGCCAAGCTGTCTTTAGAAAACATGGCATATTAAATTGGGTTAGATAAATAACTTCATCCCTTAATGGATCTATTCACACTTGCTTAAGAATGAACTTACTTACTTGTAAACTTTTCTTTTCTCCAAAACATCATATGGTAACTCTAAGAGTACTAATTAGACCATTTTGGCAAAATACAAGTATCATTTTCCCTTTCGATACTGAAGTAACTCAGAAACTTTTCAAACCCCCACCACGAACAACTTGTCATTTAATTTAAATTTTAGGAGTTTTATGTACCATGAGTTTGGAGTTTAGTGTTACAATTATATCACCTATGACCTTTTATAATAATATAATCTGCACATTCATGATCTACTTTGGTTGACTCAGAAAGGCCAAGAGCCGCACTTCCTGGGGGCCTTAATGAATATGTTTGCAAGGCCTGCTTATGCATGACTAAGAAGTTTCCTATTAGTCTGACCAGAGTTAGTCTAGTGACAGCTGAATTCAAAAAACTTAATGCAGCTTTTCTTCTTATAGGTCTCTAGTCTCTCCCAGGTGAGTCATCACAGCCACGTATGAAATAAGACTGTTTAAATGAAATTTGTCTTTCCTACCAAAGTTCAGAAAAATCCTTTGATTACTTCAGGGCAAAGTGAATACATACATATGCTTGAGAAATCCGTGTAGATTTGTGGAAATGCAACGATCAGGAGGGCCCTGGCAGCACGCGCGTCTGTGTAGGAATCACGGCTTGGCAGTGTCTGCTTGTGCGATCTCCCCGACACGTGGGTTAACCCCTCTGAGCCTCAGCTTTGCCAGCTTTAAAGTGGGGGCAGGCAAAACGAAAACCATACACTAGATGCCTCGATTGGCACTGAGTAGAGTGTGTCTGTCACTGTGACTTGTCATTTCGTTCTGTTCTGGCTGGTAGAGCGTTGTGTTACACAGACCCGGAAGTCAGTGGTTGATGTTGGTCACTTTTTGTCCCTAAGGGAAGAAAGCGTTCTCTGACCAGCTGGCTTTTCCAGGGGCCCACGGTGAAGTTTGTGTCTTCACAGGCAGCCATTCGGCAGCTCTCCGGACGACCTGCTGTGCCCACATCCTGCAGCAGAGTCGCCCAGTGATGAAGGCGCTCTCCTGGACCAGCTCTATTTAGCCTTGCGGAATTTTGATGGCCTGGAGGAGATTGACCGAGCCCTCGGAATACCCGAACTGGTCAGCCAGGTGCGCACGGTCTGGGGGCGGGGGGGGGGGGGGGGGGGGGGGGGGGGGGGGGGGGGGTGTTGCTGAGCTCTCTCAAGGGCACGGACTCGTCCGTTTTCTTTGGTTCACAGATGCTCTGCGGTCTGCTTCTTAGGGCACTTCTTTACCTCCTAACAAGCTGGCTCTGTTTTCTTTCTTGCCTTCCTTGTTACCCCCACGTACACGTTTGCCCAAGGATGGAGAACACTGAAAATGAGCTTTCGTTAAATTTAGGCTATTGAGCTGAAAGGCAGAAAGTCAAGGCCAGCTCACCTAATGACTTAGAGGGACACACAAGGAGCAGAGAACAGAGAAGTCTAGAACAAAACACTGCCGCCCCAATGACCTAGAACCCTTTCAGCTAAAAACCCAGTTGGCATCCACGATGATCATATTCATCTTTACATTTGTGGGCTGGTGAGAAGAAGCCAGTGTGCTAAAAGAATACTTCACACACAAGCTAGCAGAAGTCATTTTAGAGGTAGCTAGAGCTCATTAATCCTTTTGACCTTTGTGTGGGTTGAGCCCATAATAATTTGGGGGGATATTTAAACGTAAATGGGAAGACAAGAAAGTGCTTCTTAAGCTTCCTCCTTCTGATAGTTTGTTAAAGCAATTCTCTAAAGTATTGCTACTTTATAGCAATAATATAATAAACAGCTTAAACATAGTCTCGAATGTGGTAACAGTATTTTCTGTGTCTGGCTACCCAGCTAAATTTGTGGGAAGCAGGCAAGGAAGCAGGCGTCCTGGTTTACTTTATAAAGAGGAACAACAAATCTAAACAAAATCTAAACAAAAGCTATCACAGTCTCAGTACTGTCTTCCTCTTTGCTCATCATCTTTATTTCTTACTGCTAAACAGTAGCTTCCAGCGTCCAGTATACTCTTAGACACATGATGTGTCAGGAGGATGTCAGAAAGGTGATGCAAAGTCATTGGAGGCTTCTCTAAAGCCTAGAAATCATACTGTCATAATTCCCACAGTTCAGCAGACAGAAGTGGGAGTTAAGACTTGTCGACTCATATCAAGAACAGCAGAATGGGAAGAAATGACTCGAGAGGCTACATGATATAATGTGAAATAAATCGAGAAAGGAGAATGGAATTTAAATATTTCCTTTGTGGCTAGTTTGCTTTTGCTTTAAGTGGTAGCTAGAAGTCAGCACTCAGTATTGTTCTCGAGTTTTGTCCAAGTGACATTTTTTTTTAAATGTGGTTATTGGGATTGTTTGTAGCATCATTTTTATCAAAACTGGTGTCCTTTTATCATTTAATATTTTTAGTCCCCTTCATTTTTTCATTCATTAGTATTCTGTTTTGTCTCATCAAGTCCATTGTCAGTATAATGTCATCCTATTAAACTGAATTATAGAAACATTTTTCGGTGGATTTGGGAAATGGAGAGTACAAATAGACTTTATTTGTGCACGTGAGAGTTGTGTGTCTTCTTTAACAACTGGAAATTATTTCTTCTCTGTTGAAGATGGGCAGGTATTTAAAGTTCTGAGATAGTTTCGTGAGTACAGTTATTCAATTCAATAATGAGTTCAGTAATTCAGTAATCAATGGTGTCCCCTGGGGAGGCTCCATCCACATACTTAAAACTGTGCTGGAGAGGGCAGTGGGCCCGAGTCTCATGGGTGGACCTCAGGACCACACTGACGTGAGCCAAGGATCATGGCCAGCACCAGGCCCCTGCTCTAACTTGGGTAGACTGGTTTGAGGAAGGCCTAGGACATGACCATGTTAGAGAAAGCCTTAAGAGACATTTTTGCTCTTGAGTCCTTCCCTCCTTATATCAGAAGGGTTGTAGCAATTACCCCTAGAAGTAGAAGGGAGAGGAGAATAGAATTAGCAAGTATGTGTTTCCACCCTAAACACAGACACCGAGGGCCACTTGGGGGTGAGGTGTTCCCCCTTGGAGAAGTTGTAGATTTTCTATACCTGCTTCATTCTGACCCAGATAGATCAGGTAACCGTAAGAAGTCAAGAACGACAAACACAGCAAATGTGTCCAGTAGCTCATAAGATGGTGGCAAACTGTAGGAAGTTCTGGCAGCACAGAAGGCAGTTAAATAAAGGCAGTGTATCGCACTGCCGAGGAGCTCAGGTGCTAAATCACAGACTGGATTGGAACCCACTACCGAACCAGCTAGAAAGGCTTATCGCAACTTCCTCCGTGTCTCCAGATCTCACTTTTTTCATCTGCAAAACGGGAACGATGGTGGCGGGTGCCCCAACACTGCCGACCCCAGTGAGGTACCAGGGTGGTCGTCTGACTAAAATGATTGCTTCAAGTATGAAGAATCAGTGAAAAGACTTAACACTTCCAGGGGACATTTCCATTTTACAGTCCGGGTCAGTCTCTGATGGGGAAGTGAGAAGGCAGTGTCCCATAGTCCTGGCCTCGTTCTCCTTCCCTTAGAAGAAGGGTTGATGGGGGTCAGGCCTGACCCTGCTTCTTCCCTCACATAAGTGCACCCATTGGACAAAGATATTTTCTGGGAAGAAAAGTGGAGTCACGCTAGGTACCTTTGTATAGTAAGTACAGTGTGAAAAGCTTCAAGTATATGACAGAGAAAATAACCTGTATCAACTCCGCTGTTTCGAGCGGTTGCATTCATTTGTTTGTTATCTGGGGCTGTCTCTTCAGAGCCAAGCAGTCGATCCGGAACAGTTCTCCAGTCAGGAATCCAACATCATGCTGGAGCAGAAGACCCCGGTTTTCCCACAGCAGTATGCGTCTCAGGCCCAGATGGCCCAGGGAAGCTATAACCCCATGCAGGATCCGAACTTCCATACCATGGGACAGCGGCCCAGCTACGCCACACTCCGCATGCAGCCCAGACCCGGCCTCAGGCCCACAGGCCTGGTGCAGAACCAGCCAAACCAGCTGCGACTCCAGCTGCAGCATCGCCTCCAGGCACAGCAGGTGTGCTCTTCGTGGGCGTCTGGAGAGGCGGCCAGGGCGCGGGGGAGTGGGCAGCTTGAGGCCAGAGGGCGGCGTAACAGTCGTATCCTCGGGGAGGGCGGAAAGCTCATCCCGTCCCTTCCAAGATGACCCTACAGCTCGTGCTCTGTTCTACTTACTGATTTCCCTTCTGTCTCGTCCACTAACTCCACTCTAGCACAGGGGAGCTGTCCTGTTGCCCAGCAGGACAACGGTCTAGCCTTGAGGTCTAGAGCTAACGGTCTGGCCTTGAGCTCTCTGAGCCTCAGTTTTCCTGTCTATAAAATGGGGCTGCTGTATGGTGCAGGGCAATGTGCATATGAGTTAAAGGTGGTTTCTAGCTCAGTGTGAGCACTCAGGACAACAGTAGCTCGTTTCCTCAGTCCTGTCTCATGACAGAAATTGTCACTGTTAGCTGACTGGTGGCAGAGCAGTGCTGCCTTCTGAGTGCCTAGTTAGCTCAAGAAAATGTGTTCTCGGGAAACAAGGCTAGACAGATTTCTGTAAACAGTCCACAACGTTTTCTCAGTTATAACCAATGCGAAACCTCACTGATAATTAGCTTTGTAAAAGAATTCAGCTGCAAACCATGTGGTTTCAGCATCTAACGCATACAGATGTTACACTGGGGAGGGCGATTTCTCAAGAGAGATGATTTAAAATATATTGTGTAAAAAATGTATTGATTCTTCTGTCTGTTGCATTTAGAATCGCCAGCCACTTATGAATCAAATCAGCAATGTTTCAAATGTGAACTTGACCCTGAGGCCTGGAGTACCAACACAGGTAAGGAGCAGACCAGCAGTCAGATTTCATGGGATGTTGAGTTTCTCTGTCATTTCTTCCTTGTCAGTATCCCAGGCAAAGTTACTTACAAGGTCATATGACCCAGACCAGCACCATGGATCTGTTAGGTCATTCAGATGTCCATCTAGCCTGTCACTTTTGTAGTTCCATTTTTACTGCCAGGTACAGTCAGTTCTTGTCATTCACTTGTGTTGTGTTCTATGAAGTTACAGCAAACACTGAATTAGCGACTAGTGAACCATTGCTCCCAGGAGACATACAGGGTTAGGGTCCTGCCAGCCTCTGGTGCCAGCATGGTCATCAGTCTATCAGTACATAACCTTGTTTCACGTGTGCTTCAATTTGAAGAAATCTTATTTAATAGATACTGTCGATTTGTTACCTTGAACTCAGAGACACCAGCGCTGTGACTCTTGCCTGAATGAAGCTCACCCCACACGTGCCTTCTCCATAAGGTACATCGCAGCCTCTTGCATTTAGGAACACTAGACAGCTCTTTAGCACTACTCTGAGGAACCACCGTCAAGAGCAAAATCACCTGAGAAAAGCACACCAGAGTGAAAAACGTGGAACTAAATAGTCCACAAAAAGGACGCTTACAGTATGAGAGCTGAAACAAGAAGGCAGAGTGTCACCTTGTTTCAGCCTTAGGTGGGAATAATGTGCACCTTGGGCATCTCAAATTCTTTTGCGCATGTCCATAGACGTTGACAGTGCTGTGAATATAGAGTTGGGGGTTACAAATAAATTTTAGCAAGTAGGTAAATTCACAAATACGGAATCCAGGAGTAATGAGGATTGACTCTGTACTGCTAGGACCCGATAAACAGCCTTTTACCTCTTCTGGGTGGCAGGCACTGACATCCTTCCCTGCATCCATCTGTCTTTTCCTCTTCAGTCTGCCCTGGCCTCTTTGCATGTTCCTATCACCTCGCTCTCCCTACACTCCCTCCCCTCTCCCTGCCTCTGTTCAGCCTTTTCCAAAGCACTTCAAGCCACATTTCGGCACAAATGATCTGGTTTCCCTTTAGATTTGAATGCCATCTTCAAGGTTTCTGTGACATTCATCTTACAGCTAGGACTGGTATTATTATGAGGTCCTTTAGTTAACTGTGTTCTCTCACAGTGAGTTCCAAGTTAATCCATAGTAACATTGAAGTTACCCATGTCAGTCATTGCAAGGTTTCAGAAAAATCATCATCTCTGTAGAACTTAGAAGCCCACATTCTCACCCACCTACTGTTCAACTCTAAAATGTTCTCTCCACATGGCGTCTGGGTGGCTCATTCGGTTGAGCGTCCAACTCTTGATTTTGACTCAGGTCATGATCTCAGGGTTTGTGAGATCGAGCCCCATCTTGGGCTCTGCGCTGCACTTGGAACCTGCTCAGGATTCTCTCTCCCCCCTTCTCCCCCACTTGCACTCCTTCCCTCTCTCTGTCTCTCTCTAAAATAAAAAATAAAATAAAATGTTCTTTCCGTGTAATTTTATTTCCCAAATGATTTTACATGAGACAGTACCATTTGTTGTCTTATTTCTAATATACAGTTTGTTTCTCAATCTGTGTCTTCCCCCAATGTTCCCCTCCGTGCATTCCCCACTTCACCCCCATTTTAGGCACCTATTAATGCACAGATGCTGGCCCAAAGACAAAGGGAAATCCTGAACCAGCATCTTCGACAGAGACAAATGCATCAGCAACAGCAAGTTCAGCAGCGAACACTGATGATGAGAGGACAAGGGCTGAACATGACATCGAGCATGGTGGCTCCTGGTGGTTTACCAGCAACTCTGAGCAACCCCCGGATCCCCCAGGCAAATGCACAGCAGTTTCCATTTCCTCCAAACTACGGTACTGGACTTACATCCCCACCACCTTTCACCAGCCCTTTCTCCCCAGTGTCCCCTGCTCTTGGGTCTCAGCTCCTCTCTCACAGCTTTTTGCATGGCTCCCACATGAGTCTGGCTACCCAGGGAGTGATAGGCAACCTGGGAGGACAGCTGGGGCCTGTCAGGAGTCCCCAGGTCCAGCACAGTGCCTTCCAGTCTCTCAGCTCAGGTACCACCTTTCCTCTGAGTGCAGGTCTTACTTTAAGAGTGACCGAAGTAAGTGTGTGTGAGTGTGCGTGGATGTGTGTGTTTCTGTCAATGTCTGTAAACACGGGTGCATATGTATATATTTATTTTTGAAGACCTCTGAGTCTGACTCAAATCAATAGATACATACAAAATGTTGAAAGACCTACAAAAATTCAAGCATTACACATTCTCCAATTTTTGAAAAAAAAGATGATACCAAATCTTCAATGAATAGATAATTCCTGAGAAGTGTTATATAGAAGCCCCAGTGGAAGGCCCTTTGTTTTCTTCATATTGATTTGTTGTTCAGCATCAGTCTTAAGAGACAGATGTGTAATGTCATAAATATTCATATTTGTGTGCATGTCATGTTCAATTAATAGTTGAATTATTGGGGCGCCTGGGTGGCGCAGTCGGTTAAGCGTCCGACTTCAGCCAGGTCACGATCTCGCGGTCCGTGAGTTCGAGCCCCGCGTCAGGCTCTGGGCTGATGGCTCAGAGCCTGGAGCCTGTTTCCGATTCTGTGTCTCCCTCTCTCTCTGCCCCTCCCCCGTTCATGCTCTGTCTCTCTCTGTCCCAAAAATAAATAAATGTTGAAAAAAAAAATTTTTTTTTTAAAATAGTTGAATTATTGATAAAAGTTAAGTGCTTACATTAACATTAATATTCCAAATGATTTTCCCTGTCTTTTGCCAGAGTTATCTACAAATAACTATCAAGCCTCTGTAGTGCTAAATTCATGTCTCCTGTTTCTTTAAAGAACCAAATAATGTGTGGGTTTTTCTGTGTGATCATAAACTTTTCTTTCTCAGCTAACCTAAGCATTAATTAGCTATGTACATTACACACATCTAGGCAAAAAACGCATTTTCCTTTACGTCCTCCTTGAAAGTTTCTAAGTTGCCACCTTTGTTTCTAAGCTCCTTTCCTGTTTCCTTTTTGATGACTTCAGAAAGAGTTCTAAAAGTTCCTTCTCTCCTTTTAGTGTAAATGCCATTTGCTTCTAAACTGAACAAGAAGCTTACATTGAATTTTTCTATGTATTCTTGCTCATCTTAGATAGCACTGAAATACCGCAGAGCCCTTTACAGACAGAATCCTTTGTGATGCAGTTACTTATTTTTAAAAATGCATGGATCTCCTTGTAGAATGACTTGATTCAATAAAAAAATTATTCAAATGTGTTAACTTTTCATATATAGCTGAACTTCAGTCTGATTTAAAGTTTAAACAATCCAATTGTAGTGATACATAAAAATTTGAAGACTGTTTCAGGTAAAAGAGAAATACACGTTTGACCAATTCTTGATTTAGAGAGGGATAAGGGGAAGGAACAGTATTTTCTCTATCTCTAGACAAGGTAACTACCTTAGAGAATCAACATTTGGAAATTTTTTTCTTCATGCTTTTTATCCCAGTTTGGAACCTTTTTTAAATGTATGTGGTTAACCAGCACATGATCAGGTATTTGAAAGTAATTTTCTATGTGTATGTAATTTGAATGTTCTCTTTTCTTCCCCCCAATCTCTACGATAAAACTAACAGTCTCCTTTGGATTTCTGTTTTGTTTTTTAAGGAATAAGTCAGCAACCTGATCCAGGCTTTACTGGGGCCACAACACCCCAGAGCCCTCTGATGTCACCCAGAATGGCACATACCCAGAGCCCCATGATGCAGCAGTCTCAGGCTAATCCAGCCTACCAGGCCTCCTCTGACATGAATGGGTGGGCGCAAGGGAATATGGGTGGAAACAGGTATGCCGTGCTTCTGTGTCTTTTTAAATAAGTGATCACCAGGGAATTTTTCTGTAGACGCCTGTCTCTTTTCTGTATTTTTTCTCTTTTTTTTTTTTTTTTAATTGAGTAAGCTCTATGTTCAACAATGGGACTTGAACTCATGACCCTGAGATCAAGAGTCACATGTTTTACTGACTGAGCCTGCCAGGTGCCCCATCTTTTCTGTATATTTTTTAATTTTTTTTCTCAAGCAAGCAATATCAAGTAAACTATGAAGTAGGAAAGTTACTAAGTAGGCAGAAGTTACCAGAATACAAAAGTTTAGCATATCTCTTCCTTGGGAGTAAAAGGAACTCCCCTGAGAAGGTACCACCCCACCAGTTTAAGACCGAAACTGCTATGGAAGGCAGTGCTCTAGAAGGCATCCTTTATCAATACATGTAGTAAAAGCAAACAAATAAAAAGCTTGTTCGGTGCAGATAGGAAAGAGAAAGATACACCTCTAGACCTTCACAGTGATGTTAGGAGAGGACTGTGGTCGCCCCTGCAGCCTCATTGAGCACTTCCTCCACCATCTCTGACCTCACCCCTGCTGGCTGTCCCACCCTGGGGTCTTTCAGCCTATACTTACTCATCCTCAAGTAAATACGTGAGAAACAAGTGCTCAAAACTCCCCACCTTTTTGCCCTACAACTCTTGACATTTTAATCTTTTCTTTATGTTCTAGCATGTTTTCACAACAGTCCCCACCACACTTTGGGCAACAAGCAAACACCAGCATGTACAATAACAATATGAACATCAATGTATCCATGGCGACCAACACAGGTGGGATGAGCAACATGAACCAGATGACAGGACAGATCAGCATGACCTCAGTGACCTCCGTGCCTACGTCGGGGCTGTCCTCCATGGGTCCCGAGCAGGTGAGCACCCTGAGGAGCAGCCCATTGTCTTCTGATAACTTTTTGTCTATTTCCGCATTCAGTGTATCTTTCCATGTACTTAACATCTGCCATCAACTCCCACATGTATTTTGATCAGTTTTCTCACCTTACTTTCACCTGTGTTAGTGCCACTAACAGAAATACTTGTTAATGACAAAATAAACATGAAAGGATTCCTGACTGCTCAAGGATCTTTTAAAATATTTCTTAACTGTCTTGTCATTTAAGTATTTTCTTATTTGAGGAACTTAGCAATATCTAAAATGAATCTCTAAAAATGGAATGGTAAATGTACTTCTTAAGTAGCTTTATTTTGGATTTATAGTTTAAGAACTGATTTTCTTCTGAATGAAAAACCAGACGAATTGCAAAGGCCAAACTAACTGCTTTCCATCCAATTAGCTGTATTTCCACCACCACCTCCCATCCCACCCCCTCCCGCCGCCCCCGGCCAGTTAGCTTTAAAGGATATTTCACTCGTGCAGGGAGACTGACACTGATCATCCAAAAACTATTCTTTATCATCTCTGGGGTGTGAGTGCCATGTTTTTCGGGTCAATTTTTTTTTAATTTTTTTTTTTAATGTTTATTTTTGAGAGGGAGAGACCGAGCACGAGTGGGGGGAAGGGGCAGAGAGAGAGAGACAGAATCTGAAGCAGGATCCAGGCTCTGAGCTGTCAGCACAGAGTCTACCCGGGGCCTGAACTCACAAACCCTGAGATCATGACCCGAGCCGATGTCGGAGCCACCCAGGCGCCCCCCTGGTCAGTGTTTTTTAAACAATTCTGCTTAAGGCTGTATTTCTGAATAAGACTAGTGATTCTGCTATCCCTAAGTGTACACCAGCTTCACTTGGTGGCAGAGAGACTCAAAGCATTGATATCTCGGGTGGCCAGCCTAGGATTCAGAATCTGGGATTCAGAAATTCAGAATTTATCCACAGATAAAGGTGTTAGTTAAAAATTTTTAAATTGTGTTTACAGAAGAACTTGTTTTTTTAATTTTTTTTTAAACGTTTATTTATTTTTGAGACAGAGAGAGACAGAGCATGAACGGGGGAGGGTCAGAGAGAGGGAGACACAGAATCTGAAACAGGCTCCAGGCTCTGAGCTGTCAGCACAGAGCCCGACGCGGGGCTCGAACTCACAGTCCGTGAGATCATGACCTGAGCCGAAGTCGGACACTTAACCGACCAAGCCACCCAGGCGCCCCAGAAGAACTTATGTTTAAAGGGCACAAAATGCTTGGCATTCTACTGCCTCAGTAGTTCACGCAAAGTATCAATGTGGCAAAGACCCTGAGTCTTATTTCATCTGTGGAGAAATCGAGGCATGGGCAGGTTAAATGACTTAGTGAGTCACTGACAGGACTGTGCGTTCAGTCAGATCATAATTGTGAGAGTGGTGAAAGACTGAAGGTTGGATTAGTCTATTTCATCTGATGTTGGTGCACCACAACTTGTGAGGAAATTTTAGTAAATTTATTTACAGCACCTCTGTTTTATTCTATGAGAAGATATTAATAAAAATGCAGAGTAGTGCATAAGGAAATTTAAAGCCCTTTGCAATTTAAGAAAGCTCTGTGTGGGTAATAATAATTCGCCTTTCTGTAGTTGAATTGATGGTGACTAAACCATCAATGGTGGCTTACTTGGGTAAATTAGACATAACTAAAGATAGATTCTTGGGGCACTCGGGTGGCTCAGTCGGTTAAGCATCTGACCCTGGTTTTCAGCTCAGATCATCATCATGATCTCACAGTTTGTGAGTTCAAGCCTGTACCTGCTTGGGATTCTCTCTCTCTCCATCTGTCTTTCAAAAAAAAAAAAAAAAGAGTTTTATCTTTTCGATGGAGGAAACGTGGTGTTGATTTTGAATTTTCTACAGAAAGGGCCACTAGTGGCTCCTGATTTGCTTCCTAGGGAGACTGTACAAAGCAAGGGCCACCCAGATGGTCTACTCTACCATGGGTCATAGTCAACCTACCTGGAAGTCATGCCGTTTTATTTTTGAGGGAGGGAGAGAGAGAGAGCGTGCGCGCGCGCATGTAAATGAGGGAAGGGCAGAGAGAGAGAGAGAGAGAGGGAGACACAGAATCCGAAGGAGGCTCCAGGCTCAAAGCTATCAGCACAGAACCTGATACGGGGCTTGAATTCACGAACCATGAGATCATGACCTGAGCTGAAGTCAGATGCTTAACTGACTGAGCCACCCAGGTGCCCCAAATTGGTACATTTTTAGTAATCCAGATTGCTTTGGCAAAGAAACTTTTACATAGATTTAAACCTTTTGATTATTAGGATTAATTTGGAAACCTAAAAAACACAACTGCAGCGTGTTTATTCTGATAAAACCAGTCCTGTACAGTATTTGCATTTGTATCTTTACTTTGTAATTTGTGAAAGAATTGTATGAGTGCTGATGAATAATTCACTTAAGAGGCACAAAGTTCAGCACTGTTGGGTACTCAGACTTGCTCTTGCTAATCAATAACTTGCCTAAGTAACAGAGGTATTAGGAGCTTCTCAGATGGCTCCGAAGTCCCAAATATGAGTCACTGGTCTAATTTGAATCATCCAAAAAGGTGAACATGTTAAGGCATGAAAATGTTTCAAGTATGATCGAGACTGTCAAACTTCTATACAAAATGCCAATAAAATTTAATTTTGAAGGCAGTTAGTGTAAGTATTTATTTCCCTGTTCCTCCCAACTCCCCCACCTCCCACCAGATCTATACATGGGAGAGTAGGTCTAGGGATGGGACCGCTTTTACAAAGCCACCTTTCCCCGTAATTCTACTCCTAAGAACAAAGACGAGGAGGAAGGTCGGTTGGTTGTTCCCTACAACACTTTTGGACATCCCACTGAGTGGAGCCGCTGTCCTGTCTTGTGCCCTCAGGTTAATGACCCTGCTCTGAGGGGAGGCAACCTTTTCCCAAACCAGCTGCCTGGAATGGATATGATTAAGCAGGAGGGAGACGCATCACGGGTAAGAAACGGCAAAGAAATCTGTGAACAGGGTAGTAAGGTGAACATGGATATTTTTTTTTTTTTTTTTTAATTTTTTTTTTTTCAACGTTTTTATTTATTTTTGCGAGAGAGAGAGAGAGACAGAGCATGAACGGGGGAGGGGCAGAGAGAGAGGGAGACACAGAATCGGAAACAGGCTCCAGGCTCTGAGCCATCAGCCCAGAGCCCGACGCGGGGCTCGAACTCCCGGACCGCGAGATCGTGACCTGGCTGAAGTCGGACGCCTAACCGACTGCGCCACCCAGGCGCCCCTAACATGGATATTTTATAGAGCAAAACTGGCAGACTCACTGTCAGCCAATAGATTGAAGACAGTTGTAACGCTTGTGATTTTTAAAAATATCTTCTAATTTCATCTGACATTCAATAGTTTTTCTGTGAATCATTATTTCTTTAAGCTCATTTTAACTGAGCTGATGGTGGCGTATGAATTAAAAACACTAATTTTGCCCTGGAATGATATTATCATAGCAAAGCCAAAAAAGTAGCAGTGTATTAGTCATGTTAAGGCAAACTTTGATTTATTTTTACTTTTTCTGAATCATAATGTTAGATTTTCAGGAGGATAAAGAGGAGCTAACTTACAATTATTCCCTATCCCTTAATTCTGTGTTTATTCCTGTTAAGAGTTTGTCTATATTTCACTTTGTTTAAGCAACAGTCTTATATATTATTTGCATATTACCTCCAACCCTTGTTCTAAGAAGAGTGATAGTACCATGTTCAATCAAATCTTGAAAAAGAATAATCCATTCTTGGAACTCAACTGAATTGTGTGTCTAGCAGCTGATATGTTAACAGGAAGGCTCTGTGAGCAGCTTAACACATAGTAAATGGGCCTGCAGGGCCCTCTCAAGGTAAGGGATATAATCCTTAGCAATAGATTAGTTTCCTTTTTTTTTTTAGTGTTTATTTTTGGGAGACAGAGACAGTGTGAGCAGGGGAGGGGCAGAGAGAAAAAGACACAGAATCTGAAGAGGCTCCAGGCTCTGAGCCGTCAGCACAGAGCCCGACGTGGGGCTCAAACTCACAAGCCGTGAGATCATGACCTGAGCCGAAGTCGGACGCTCAACTGACTGAGCCACCCAGGTGCCCCAGGTTGAGTTTATTTTTAAGTTAAAAATTCTCTCTCAATGGAGAAAATAGAGGATCGGTGTTCAGTTTCCTACAGAAAAGTGGATCTTGATTGGTTTTGTTAATATCTAAGTTTAAAAAGGAATAGATGCAGCAGTGCCTGGCTGGGCTCAGTTGGTAGAGCATCTAACTCGATTTCTGAGTCATGAGTCTGAGCCCCACATTGGGTATAGAGATTACTTTTAAAAAAATTAAAATGGGGGGGTGCGCCTGGGTGGCTCAGTCGGTTGGGCATCCAGCTTCGGCTCAGGTCATGATCTCACAGCCTGTGAGTTCAAGCCCCATGTCGGGCTCTGCGCTGATAGCTCGGAGCCAGGAGCCCGCTTCAGATTCTGTCTCCGTCTCTCTCTGCCCCTCCGCTGCTCTCACTGTCCCTCTCTCTCTTTGTCTCTCTCTCTCAAAAATAAAAACATTAAAAAAATTTATCTCAATAAAAAAATAAAAATGGGGCTCCTAGGTGGCTCAGTCAGTTAAGCATCTGACTCTTGGTTGTGGCTTAGGTCATTGATCTCACAATTCGTGGGTTCAAGCCCTGCTTGGGATCTCTCTCTCCCACTCTCTCTGTCTCTGTTAAAATAAATAAACAAACTTTTAAAAAACTTTTAAATTAAGAAAAAAAAAGGTATAGCTCCAGACTTTAAATACACGGTGTGTGAATTTTCTCTTTGTTGTTTTTCTTGTTTAAAGAACCACAGCCACACATGGTAGAGACACCCCTGGGTAGGAATCCTACAGATGATATATTTACCCAGATGCAGAGCTCATCTAAATGGTTAACGTCGCTACAGTAAGCCAAACGAAAAATAGAGTATATTCCATGTTGACTATGTGTGCAGACTCTAAATGTGCCATTGATTGAAGTTTGAAGCCCCTTAGGGGGGTGGCACCTTTCTCCTGCCAGCCCAGCCTCCCCTACCGCACTGCACCTCTACAGAGTGACCACAAGAAATCAGTGATGGCTTATGTGCAGAAAGTAGAAGCTTAAAACCTGGGACGCACTTCCCAGAGGAACGATGACATTAGTGATAATTAGGCTTCTGCTAAAGGACAGCCCACGTTAACCCAAAAGTGCCAGGGAGCTTAACCTTTCAGCACATCATAGCTCTGTGGGAGGAAAAATGCATTTGGGGGCCAGGACTGCATTTCCCTCCCTGAACCCACCATGACAGGATCTGACCTCCCTTCCTCCACCTTCAGTGTGACTGTGTGCCAGCCTAGGACAGGGACACAAAGCAAGCACCCGGGAGAGCCAGTTTATAGGGCCAGGTGCTCAGATGCCCTGCCTGGCCCAGGCCAGCAGCCCCGTCTTCCACTCCTGCCCCCCAGTTTGACTTGCCTTATATCCTTCTGCTGCCCTATTACAGAAGACTGTACTGCTGTACTATACAGCAGAACACTTGGATGGCCCCTAATCTTTTTTTTTAATTCCAGAAAAAACCAACAGGTATGGAGCATTCACTGCAAGCCTGATTATCTGCTGAGAGCTTTATTTAGATTAGTTGATTTAAACCAATCATAACCGTATGGTAGAACTACTGTTTTGAGGGCTTGATGAGTTGCCCAAGATCCTGCAATACCAGGAAGGAAGCTGAGACAAGGCTCACCCCCCCATGCGTGCATTACTAGCCCCTGTACTCTGCCGCCCACTTTCCCAGAGGGGACATGGAGCTCCTGGGACATTTCTCTAAAGGTTTTATGAAAGCAACATTGGAGAAGCCCCAGAAGAAACAAATTTGGCTGCCATTCCCTTCTGGTTTTTTATACAGCCTGAAGGGCAAAGAAATACACCACACTGTGGGACAGACGGTAAAGATTTGGCTACATATTGAAGAGCGTCCTCGGCTTCAGGCATTAGGATACTAAATCTCAGGAGGGGAAAAACCTCTGAAGTGAGGAAAGGGAATGTACCTTTTGGTCTCTAGTATACAGGAACCATACTGGGCCCATCAGAGATATTTAGGCCTCATCAACACTTACGGATGAGGAGACGGAGTCTCAGAGGATGAGGGAATTTGCCCAAGCTCGCTCAGCTAGCGTGGAAGACCACTGTGAGGAACACCACACAAAGAGGAAGACCACTGTGAGGAACACCAGAGAGAGGCAGGGGCCTTCAAGCTGGAAGGACTAATCCGCAGAGTGGGGCCTGGGCAAAGTGGAGAGGTAAAGCTGCAGGCAAGGTGGGCCAGTAGAACCACCTTCATGCACATCTAGGCCCCTGATGGGTGCCCGCTAAAACTCAAATGGAAAGATTAGCATCAAGGTCACAAAAGCAACTTTCAGTAAATATAGGATGTTCTCCCTATCAAAAGTACTCTTCAGGATCTCTGGTGAGAACTCTCTCCCTGTAGTCATCTAGCCTGGACCATTTATGCCCCTCCCACTTTCTTTGTTTCTCCCAGACCCCCTCTTGAATCTGGCTTCCCATCTATACTTTGTTCATGCTGAATATTAAGGCCAGAGGACAGTCTGTCAGACACTCTTGTTTCCTTCAGAAAGTAATATGTACAGTATATCCCTTCTGATCCATGAGTAATAACTGGAAATCACTGCACTTGTCACCATTCTACTGATTATGTGCAAAGAGAGCGATCCAGTCATCTCTGTCCTCTTGTGTTTCTGTAATGTTCTCTGCTGCTGTTGTGTATCAAGGAACTTTTCAGAATTTATATTGGTAACCTGGTTCTATTTGTTGAGCTAGAAACCAGTGGTTTGGGGCGCCTCGGTGGCTCAATCAGTTGAGTGTCCGACTTCAGCTTAGGTCATGATCTCACGGTTCGTGAGTTCGAGTCCCACGTTAGGCTCTGTGCTGACAGCTCGGAGCCTGGAGCCCGCTTTGGATTCTGTGTCTCCTTCTCTCTTTCTGTCCGTCTCTTGCTTGTGTTTGCTCACTCGGTCTCTCTCTCTCAAAAATAAACATTAAAAAGAAAAAAAAGGATATGGAAAGAATCTTTAAAAAAGAAAAACCAGTGTTTCATTACTAATCGAATTGGTGTTCCACTTATCTTGAAATGGAGATTAAAATTGTACCTTGCTTTAAGCAGAGCTAGCATGTACAACTGTGGATTTACCAAAATGCTATGTAGAGAGGGGCGGTGATTTTACACAACCAAAAGATTCTTCTTTTTACAAGGACTTCTAGCATGCCTCTATGTTTTACATATGTTTAAACATATCAAAATTGAGTTTACTGGTCAGCTGCATGGCTCTTGTATAAAGTGTAGCTATAATTACTTGTATTTACTGGTGTTACGGAAATCGATCACTAACTAGGACCAGCTTCCAGGCAGTGATGATAAGGATAGTGGTGATGACATTCACCGAGTACTTTTTATGTTCCCAGAACTATTTAATACCTCGTGTACATGATTTTGTTTAGTCCTCACAACAGCCCTAGGAAGTATTAGGGACAGAAAGATTAAGTGACTCTCCACCCCTGAAGTGACACAGCCGGATGCCAAGCCAACCAGTGTCACTTTAGATATCCACGGCATGCTCAACATTCTCTTTCAGTACACTGCTCCTGGGTGATAGCTGCTTACTGATAATCCATTCGTGTTAAAGAATACTGCCTTCAAGTTGCTAAGGACATTAATACTTCTCAGTAGAGTTTGTTTTTCTAGACTAACTGGAAAATCGAAGGATTTTTTTCATATTTTAGAGCTGTGGAGTATTTCCATATGAAATCATGTGACACAAATTGGAAATAAATATATAATTCGGCTTTATATCAAAGAGAAAAGTACATTAACTGTTCTTCTCTCAGAGGAAATACAATCAGAGGGATTCTCCTAAACTAATGTTTTAAGCTTGGGAGAATTGTGCTCCAGACCAGGAATGTAATCCCACCTTTGACCACTAGAATTCATGATCTGGCAGCAGTTTCCCCCAGTCGGTCTTTGCAGGGTAGTGTGGTGAAATTGATTATTTTGGGCTTACGCTCTGATCTTACTAGATAATCTTTAATGGCCCTGATGTGCTAGCTATGCCTTCATATCTAAATCCCAGAAACAGTTGTTATGTGTCCTCACAGCACCCAGTATTTCCTCTCACATAATTCGGACCATGTTGTTGTCTCCCTGGCCCACTGGATGTTTTGATGGCGGTGACCAGAAATACACTGTTTTGGTTATAGCCCCAGCACCTGGCACAGAGTGGATAATTAATATTTGCTACATGGATGAAACCTTTTGGGGGGGGGTGTGGAACATAGTCAAAAAACATAGTCAATAACCAAAGAAAAGCACTGACAGACATGCACCAACCAGTCAGACACCTCACATGATTCTTGCTCACTACAGCCCTCATTCAAACCATCATGGCATAGCAACCAGAAACTGGCGAGAATATCCGTAGATCCAAAACCCTGGTTTATTCAGCTCCCTGAAGCCAGGAAAACACCCCACGGAACCTTGGGAGTATCTCTGTAAGAGAAAGTCAAGAGGGACGTTTTGTTGAAAGTCGGTTTGTACTGGATGATTTTGAGGAAGGATTGAGGAAGTGGTGGCCGCTTCTGAATCGGATATTGTCAGAAAGCCAGGGCAGCTCAGCAATGAGGTATCTCTGCAACGTCGTTTGAGATGGTGGGCCAGGACATTGGTGTAGGCCGTCATTGGTGAGAGAGCAGCAGTCATCCACTGAAGCCTCTCGTCCTTCAAAGTGGCACGGAGGATCTGCTGGCCTTAAGGGAGGAGTGTGCTCAGCAAGGAACAGGCCTCCTGCCTGTCTGCCTCAAAATCAAGTGTAATTCAGCCAGAGCCTTCGGGAACGACACTATTTAAAAATGGCCAAGTATATTGATGATTCTGTGATGAGCTTTATGATGGTGTTATAAAAAATTCAGAGGTACTTCACAGTTTTCTCTGTTTTCCTGCAGAAATACTGCTGACACTGAAAGTAGCTGGTTGCTTCTCTCTTCAGCTGATGGGGCTCACTTGCTCAAAACACTTACCGGCCTGGAGAGCTGTGTCTATCTGTGTTGACCCAATCGACCTGCCAGCCAGTTCTGCCAGAGCCAGGTCAGCAGACGGGCCGGGGCCCTGGCTCCCGGGGTGGAGTCCACCTGGCTGTTGCAGGAGGAGCCGCCTCTTCTCTTGACAGTCTGAAGCTCGCGTCCAGACAGTTGCTCAGTCTGTTCACTGCATTCACCTTAGTGCAACTTAGATCTCTCCTGCAAAGTAAATGTTGACAGGCAAATTTCATACCCATGTCAGATTGAATGTATTTAAATGTATGTATTTAAGGAAAACAACCATGCTCTTGTTCTGTTCCTGTTTGGTTCCAGACACTGGTTTCTTGCTTTGTTTTCCCTGGCTAATCAGTCTAGTGCAAAAGATTAAGATTTCATCTCGGGAAAGAAGAGAGTTAAAAAAAAAAAAAAAAAAATACACACACTAAAAGGTGTTTTAACCTAAAGCCTGCATTTGGGATAAAAGCAGAGCAGACACCACGGACAGCGCTGTATGTACAGAGACACCCAAGAAGTGAAGACCAGTAAAGTCATAGTTGTATCTTTGTAGAAGCTGTAGAGACCATGTTGAGAAGAGTGTCCATTACCGAACAGAGGAAAAGGAGCCTGTGAGAGGGCTGTTGATATTAACAAGTGCTTTTTTCTTTTTTTCTTTGTCAAAATCAAACTATTCCACCTAAATTGTGAATCAAGAAGAAACATTGTTCATTTCCAAACTAAGTTCCCTTTAGATTGATAAGACAGCTTTGATTAGCGTCCTCTCTTCTCCATCCAATCCTGACTCTTCCTTCCCCTGTCAGCCTTCCCTACTTTCGTTTTTTTTTTTTTTTTTTTTTTTTTTTTTTTTTTTTTTTTAATTTAAACGCAACAGAAACCAGGTAAGCCCTTTATTTCCTTAAATGTTTTGCCAGCCACTGTCAATTGCTAACTATTAAATTTCAGAAAAAAAGCATTTACTGGCAAGGAGAGGAGCCAAGTTAGGACTTGATACAATCCAACTAAGGATACCTGCTTTGAAAGCATGTTTATTCTGTTCCCCAGCAACACTGGCCTACAAGAACGGGAGAAAGTAACCGTGTGTTTAAAATTGACAGCAGATATCACAACAGATTTAACCTCCGCCATGTGTTTTTTATTTTGTTTTCTAGCAGTGCTGATGAAGCCGAAGTTTTGTAAGGTACATAAAATCCAATTTATATGTAAACAAGCAATAATTTAAGTTGAGAACTTAAGTGTTTTAATTGTATAATTTTTGTGAGGTATACATATTGTGGAATTGACTCAAAAATGAGGTACTTCAGTATTAAATTAGATATCTTCATAGCAATGTCTCCTAAAGGTGTTTTGTAAAGGATATCAATGCCTTTATTAGACCTAATTTGTAGACTTAAGACTTTTTATTTTCTAAACCTTGTGATTCTGCTCATAAATCATTTATCTAATGATATGCAGCCGCTGTAGGAACCAATTCTTGATTTTTATATGTTTATATTCTTTCTTAATGAACCTTAGAAAGACTACATGTTACTAAGCAGGCCACTTTTATGGTTGTTTTTCTTGCCCACTCTGGTAGGGGAATAATCTTTTATTAATTGGCATCAGTTTCAGACAACTGCAATACCAAGAAACTGATGACCTTTTTTGAGCTATTTCTCCCCAACCCCTAAAACACATACTTTCTTACCTAAATTTCAGAATGATGTCTTTTTGATGTCTAAAAAGCAAAGCATTTTATATCTCATTAGCCAGGCTTTTTAGGAACAGAGAGGTTTTTCCTTGAAATTTATTTGTGGCAGGGTGAAAAATGTACAAACTACCCCTATTTATATTTATATCTCTCTCTATATGTGCAAATTATGGAGTATAGAAAGAGATATAGCCCAAAGATAACTGGTTAAGTAGACAGTCTGAAAGTGTTGCTCCATACTAAAGAAATTTTTCTGGAAATTTGCATTTCGATACTTTTTTCCCACTTGAGAGGGGTATCGCTCGCTACAGGGAGGTGGCCAGGAACAGCACTTCTCAGCGGTCACCAGTTCACGTGTCCCCCTCGAAATGCTCTACTTTTCTCAACCGAACCACTGGGTTGCCCAGTCGTGATGGAAAAAATGAGCAGATGTTGGCCCGAAACTCCGTGACCTCATCGGTGTGATGAGGCTCACATTACCCAGTTTACTGTGACCGGTTTTAAGTTGATTTTTTAGAAACATGTGAATTGGAATGACTTTATCTTCACACAGCACAGAAGAGAAATGGAGTTTAAACTGGCTTTGTTTCAAGTCCCTTTTCACTAAAACAGTGTCCCCAGAATATCAGTGTATCTTTGATTGTTTATCCATCTGCCTACTGTGTCTTAATGTCAATCCCAATTCAGACAAATCTGCAAACCTCTGATACCGATAATTTAGAATAATTCACGATCATTACTGTTTTGAAGGAAGAGAGATTATAAATTCTCTGATGGCTCAGACCAGGTAATGGATTTTGCTTTACATCTAACTGAAAAGAGAAAAGTCAGTGAAGGAATCCTCTGATCATATTGATCACTGTAGAAGCAAAAGCCAAATCAGTCCCCTTCATTATCAGTATTTCTCATGCTGTAAACAATAAATTTGTCAGACTGAGTACTTGGTTTTGTTTTAATAGAACAAATAATCAGTGTTTTACTTATATTACTAAATGTGAAAAACACATAATGTGAAAAGTATACATACATTAACTTGGTTGTAAAACTCATTTAAGTGTTCATGTAATGTGCTAAGTTTAAAAAGTGAAGTGAGCTGTTTTACTACAATGAATTCGTTTGACTCAAAGACTAAAAATGCCCCTCCCACGTGTATCTCTTACGGCCTGTAATAACTGAAAGCAATGTTTTTGCAGTTTATATAATGCAATTTTTAATCTGTGTTTAAAAATGGAGTTCATATGGGCTTAACACATGAAATGGGTGGCACAGATCCACTTGCAGAACCCAAAGATACACAATCAATTTTGAAATGCAACTTAAGCCATTAATTGTTGGTGTGAATTTAAAATTTTCTAGTATTTGTATGGTAGTATGCTGCCTAAGAGCAAAGCATTCTCTGCACAAAAGAAAATTACTGTAGTGGCTTCGATTTTAATTAGAATTTTCTCCCTGGTGTTTCTTTATAGAGGAAAACAAAATCTTTTAAGTTTCTTACTACAGGTAAAAGCTATGTGCAAGAACCTCAAAATGCTAAAATCTAGCATAATGCCTTAGATCTGTTTTTAAGTCTTGTATATTCCTACATAGCTGTCCAATGTATTATATTTGTATAGTGAATTGTGTACAATTTTTGAATAAGTGCATCATCACTTAACCTTTATGTTGTTGAATAGTGATGATGATACATTTCTTCAAACATTTAACTGTCATTTTTGTTCCTTTGTCATTTGTGGGTTTTATTTGTACAGTTCCTCATGAAGTTGCATCTGAGATGTGTGTATATGAAAAGATTATACAAGGGTAAAATTAAGCAATATATTAACTATGGTTCTTCAGGAGAAAGCTTACAGTGTTTCAGGTTGTGATTTATTTTCAAAATGGAGTTGACTCTGAACATCACTTTGTTCACCTGCATCGATGTTTGTATTTCTAGTGTGAGCAGTTTATGCAAAGGTAGATATATTCAGAGAAATTTTAAATACATTTATGCAAGTTAATATTGCTTTGCTGATGCTATTTGCTTATTTGATGTTAAATAATGCTATTGTAAATAAAGAATTCTGTTGTTATTGCATCATTTAATAAATTTTAATGCCTTCGGGTTTTACATGGCTTGGGAGATTTTAATGTGTTTATATATTCTATCTCCATTCGTAATTGCTCTTAATTTTTAAAATATCTGACTTGGAATTTAATACTTCCTTACATTCATACAATAGTTGACACTATTTCTAGCACTTTAACATTTGGTTCTCCCACTGGCCCGTTTCACAGATTTTCAGTTTGAAGCCAAGGGAGGTTACGTCTTGGTTATCTAACAACTTAATGGCAAATACAGGCTGAACATAGGTCTGCAGAATCCCAAGTGATGTCACTACTCTTCTCACCAGAGTGTTCCACCTCCCTTCCCTCATTTTCCCAAAAAACATGAGAACAATATGGACTTCTGACTGGTTATTCAGGTTATACATCACATCAGAGTATTCATGATCGTTTTAATCGATTGTTTTGTTAATAGTTGATAAATGATACAAGTATAATTCCTAAAACCCAAGTTGTAAACTACATGAAATACTAGTAAATATAATCTGGAATTGTGTTTTTAAAAGATACAAAAACAAGATGAATGAATAGAAAATTCTATCAATGCTGGGGTGCCTGGCTGGCTCAGTCAGTAGAGCATGTGGCTTTTGATGATATTGGGGTTGGGAGTTCAAGTTCCACATTATGTGTAGAGATTACTTAAAAAAATAAAATCTTTGAGAGAGAGAGAGAGAGAAAAGAAGAGAAAAAAAACCTATCAATGCTATTCACTATATTAAAGGAAGGAAAAATCATGATTAACTATAGTAGATGCTATATGATAAATTTACACAGGATAAATTTCAGCCCCCTTTCATGAGAAAACCTCAAGGAAAAATAAAACCTCTAGGAAAAGTAAATGTCCTAAAGTTATTTTAAGGTTATCTGATGCAATCCCACTGACACATCTTACTTACTGATTAAATATTAAAGGTATTAGTTAAAATCGAAACAAAACAAGGAACCCCCATTACCAGTGCTGCCAAGTGAAATATTACTACTGGAATAGAAAAGGTAAGAGATTTTCAGTCAATTTGACCATCTATACAGAAAACCCAAATGAACGAACTGGCTCTTGGAATGGAATGAATAAAAAAAGCTCAGTCAGATGGCTAGACTTACACAAAAATCAATACCTTCTGTCCACACCAAAAGTCATTTTTTTCAAATCCCCATTTACAATAACCATAATACAATGCTTATAAAATAGGATTAGAGCTAACACAAAATGTGAAAAAACTTTGTGAATTGAAAACTATAAACTTGTATTTAAAAGACACAGAAGTGAGCGCCTGGGTGACTCAGTCGGTTGTATGTCTGATTTCAGCTCAGATCACGATGCCAGGGTCCCAGGATCAAGCCCTGCCTCAGGTTCTGCACTGACAGCATGGAGCCTGCTTGGGATTCTCTCTCTCCCTCTCTCTCTGTGCCCCTTCCACACTCCACTTTCTCAAAATAAATAAACCTTAACAAAAGTTTATAAAAATAAATGAGAAAAAGAATTAGGAAATGGGAAAAGAATACGAACAGATAATGTCTACTAAATGTTAAAAGATGTTCAACATCGTTAGTAATAAACTGAATGAGACACCTTCTTTCCTCCATCCATTTGGAAAAAAAA